TGGGGCCATATGCCATTCGCTCTTACTTGCTCAGTTATGTGTATATTGCTAATTAGAGGTTTGTTTTTTCGTTGGGAGAGTGTATTGTGATCAGCAAAGGGCCAATCTGCACTGTCCAGAAAGAGGTCTGGGGTTTTGCACATCCTCTTAAAGCATGAAGGAATAACTCCTTCCTACATGCTTTAACCATGTGGCTCTGCTGAATACTGATTAGAAGTCCTAAGACTGGCCTCTAAAGCTGCTTGATTGAGTAAAGGTTATTTTCGCAGTTTATATTTTAATATTATTTGCAGTTCCAATGGTTGTGTTGTACTGTGGAGACTAGTATAGTGATATGCGGAGGGTTCCAGGGAAGAGCTGATATAGTGAATGCGGGGTCCGGGTGGGCGAGGTCCGAGAGCCGGATATATGTAAAAATGCGAGGTGTTTCCGGGGGGAGAGCGGATATGATATAGTTGAATGCAGGGTCCGGCTGAGAGCCGGATATTTTAGTGGAATGCGGGGGTCCAGGGAGAGCGAGCGTGATTATAGTGAATGCGGGGTCCGGGGCGGGGTGAGCGGATTATAGTGAATTGCGGGAGTCCGGGAGGCGGGGAGGGGGAGAGGAATCGGGATATAGTGATCATGCGGGGGTCCGGGGATCTGGGAGAGAGCGGATATAGTGTATGCAGGGAAGGTCCGGGAGGCAGGAGAGACCATATATAGTGAATGCTGGGGTCCGGGGAGAGTGCATGATACTAGTGAATGCAGCGTGTCGGGGAGAGGGGATATATAGTGAATGCTGGGGTACGGGGAGAGTGCGATTATAGTAAATGCGAGGTAACGGGGGTGAGCGGATATAGTGTATAATGCTGGGTCCGGTGGAGGGAGAGCGGGATGATATAGTGAGTATGCGGGGGTCCGAGGTGAGAGCGGATATTAGTGAATGCGGGTGGTTCCGGGGATGATGCGGATATAGTGAAATGCGGGGTACAGGGTGAAGCCAGATATAGTAAATGCCGGGTCCAGGGAGAGCAGATTATTAGTGAAATGCGGGGTCCGGGGGATGAGACCGGATATAGGTGAATGAAGGGGTCCAGGGGAGAGCCAGATATTTAGTGAATCGTCAGGGTCGGGTCCGTCCGTACGTCAGACGGTGACGATAGGCGGGATTATATGTGAATGCGGCGGGGGGGGGTTCCCGTGGGGAGGAGCGTGGATTGGTGGAGATAGTTGGAGTGCGGGGGTCCGGGTGAGATGGTGAGAGCGGATATAGTGAATGCAGGCTCAGGGGGAGACCGGGATAGTATAGTGGAATGGCTGGAGTGCGGGGAGATTCAGATTATAGTGGATATGCGGGGGTCCGCCCGGCCGGTGGAGAGCCAGATATAGTGAATGCGGGGCGTACTGGGGGAGGGAAGATATAGTGGAATGCAGGGTCCAGGGAGACCAGGTATAGTGAATGCAGGGTACGGGGTGGAGCAGAGATACTAGTGGAATGCGGGGGTGTTCACGGGGAGAGCTGATTATAGTGGTGAAAGCATGGGGTACCGGGGAGCACCAGATAGAGTGAATGCAGGGTCCGGGAAGATCAAGATATAGTGGACAGCGCGGGCGTCCGGGGAGAGTGGATTATAGTGGGATAATGCGGGGGTCCGGGAAGAGTCGAAAATATAGTGAATGCTGGGGTGCCGGGGGAGGGGGGACTTAGCGAGCGGATTTATTAGTGGAGATGCGGGGTCCGGGGATAATCAGCTTAGATATAGTGTATTGCAGGAGGTGGTCTGGGGAGACCAGATATTAGTGAATGCAGGGGGTACGGGGAGGGTGATCAGATTATAGTGGAATGCGCGGGTGTACGGGCGAGGCCAGGATATAGTGAGATGCGGGAGGGTCCCGGGGAGACTAGATATACTGAATGCGGAGGTCCCAGGCGGAAGAAGAGTGGAGTATAGTGAAATGCAGGGTGGCCCGGGGAGACCCTGGAGATATTAGTGGGAATGCAGGTTGGTTCCGGGCGGAGTGCGGGATATATGTGAGTTGCGGGGTTACCGGGGAGAGCTGGATATGGTGAGCCAGATATAGTGAATGCGGGGTCGTCGGGGAGATACAAGGATATTGTGATTGCGGGGGTCAGGGGGAGGCCTGATCAGTTTATAGTGTGACTGCGGGGGTCACGGGAGAGGAGGACCAGATGATACTGTAATGCGGGGGGTCTGCGGGAGAGTGGATATAGTGAATGGCAGGGTCCGGGGTGGAGACCGGATTATAGTGAATGCGGGGTACAGGGGAAGAGCGGAGATATAGTGAGATGCTGGGGGGACGGGGGAGAGCAGATATAGTGAATGCCGGGGTCCCGGGGTGAGAGCATGATATAGTGAATGCGGGGTGGGTGGTCCGGGTGGTGAGCAGAGTATAGTGTATGCGGGGAGGTTCCGGGGAGGGATAGATTATAGTGAATTGCTGGGTTCCAGGGAGACCTGATATAGTGGAAAGACAGGGGTACAGGGCGAGGAACGAGCAGATATTAGTGAAATGCGGGGTTCAGGGTGAGAGCGGTTATAGTGGGAATATGCTGGGTTCCGGGGGTACGGGGGAGTGATGGAGAAGTGACCTCGATATAGTGAATGGCAGGGTCCGGGGAGCTTCCGGTGGGAGATCCAGATATAGTGAATGCGGTGTTCTTAATACAGGGGGAGATCAGAGTATAGTGTGGAATTTGACGAGGGTTCCGGGTGAGACCAGATATGTTTCCGGGTGGTGTGAACTGTATAGTGGTGATGCGGGTGGGGTCCCGGGGGTGTGAGTGTCAAGATATAGTGAAATGCTGGGTAAGGGGATCGGAGAGCTGTTGCCCGGTGTGCAGCTGTTAGTGTGTAATTTGTAGGGGGAGGGGGGCAGGGGGGGGGGTACGGAGGAGAGATGGACCAGATATAGTGAATGCGCGGTACGGGGGTGACAAGGTGCCGGGCGTGACCAGACTATATGTGAATGCGGGGTCCGGGGAGACCGATATACTGATATGCGTGGAATGAGTGGGTCCTTCCTGGGGTTTAGTAACATCTTTAAGAAAAAAAAAAAAAATAGAATAGGTTATGGCTTTTTTTTATGATACATTTTACAATGGACATTGTTGGAATACCTGTAAATGATCCAACGGGCTTACTACTCTGCTTCCATGTGTACATAAAGGTGGGCAAATAGTGGTCTCATTTTGTCTGTTTGTACATCATCTATTACATAAACTGGAGAGGTTAACGCCAGGATTTTCTACCACCACCACCTTCCCAACATGGATTGACTTTATGTAAGTGCCAAGGAATTCTTGCCCCTATAGGGATTATTAGGATGCCATCTTTGGGACAGGTTTTCAGTTTTTTGATGGTAAGAAATATCATATCTGGTTGGACACATAAAGAAAACGAGATTTAAATTTCATGGTTATTCGTACTCAGGAGGAAAATTGGTGGCCCTGGCGTTCTACACCTTACGTATATACTTTAGTTGGTGAGTGATATATAGCAAATGAGTATCATACACAAAATAAGGTGATATTTGTTTTGGGACCCTTCGCCCAAAGAAAACACTACTTTGCTGACCTACAAGGCACATAAAGATAAACTGTAAGCCCACCATTTGATGACTTTTTTTGTGCTGCCATCCATTGTTCCACCATATCTTTGGTGTCTGAACAAATTATATACTGTATAATACTTCTTGTATACACAACAGGAAATGTTAAGTCCTTACAGGTTGGATGCCGTGTTACCTCATTACTATTTTGCTAAGCATGGTTTGAAAACAGGAAACCATAGGTGCTCACATTCACACTACACATTGAAATTCTGACCTGGTGCGTTGAAGTGTGTTAAAAAAATATAATTAAAAAAAAAAGTTTGCCAAAATGCAGATGAGACATTTTATGGGGCACTGGTGGTAAAAACTGGCGGCCCTCCAGATGTTGTCATACTACAAGTACAATGAGGCAATTGCAAGAACTGACAGTTACCTGCATGAACTCCCAAAGGTTAGAGGCATTCAGCATGATGGGGACTTGGTAGTATTTTGGTGGAACAGCTGGAGTGGCCGGCCAGTTTGATGATCCCTGCTATGGGGTGTAGATTTCCTAACTAAGGATGGAGCTCTGCGGAAATCTCGGTGGAGCTTTGCTGGTTGCTAATCAGCTTCTGACTTCTGCTTGTTCCGTTGAGCTCCGTGCTAACATAAATACATCCTGGAAGCCCGAATGGTTTCTATATGGTTTCTATGACAGAGAGTTGCGACAGAGTTTTGCATTCACCGAGTTTTAATAAATAACCTCATGTCTTTCTGACATTTAGGGCCAGCCCATTCACACATACGGGCGTCTAAAATGTAGCCAGTCCAATTGTGTTCAGTTTATAAGTTTTGGCCCCTGCTTTTGTAATGCAGCATCTATGGGAATCGTATGGGGTCATGCACACTGCTGTGTGTCCCTACTCCACCCCCTCCTGTCTTCAAATGGAAAACATGTCAATCCCATTTTAGTAGTATTATTAATAAAAAAGTAGAACACAACTACTCATCTTCAGGTTTACACATGGTGATGAATTGTTAATGCATAAGCTATAAAAAGGCTATAAACAAAGGTGCCAGATAACTAGTGTCTATAACATCCAAATGCTTTAGGGGAGGTTGTATTTTTACACAGGATCTTCTGCTATCTCTGCCAGCAAACCATCGCATTCAAAAGACCCCCCCATGCACACCACATCACAATCAGAGGTCCTTCCCCATTTCATATCAAAATCCTTCTTCACATCTGCCCCCCCCCCCCAACATCAAAGTTACCCATTTTACATCAGAGTTCCCAATTTACATCAGAGGTCCACCCCATGATGTCGGAGGAAGCCCCTTTTTGTAAAATATGAAAGTGGATGTTATGGCGAGTAAATAGATACCCAACATGTCACGCTTTAAAATTGCTCACGCTCGTGGAATGGCGTCAAACTGCAGTACTTAAAAATCTCCCATGGGTGATGCTTTAACCCCTCGCCTACCGGGCACTTTTACCCCCTTCCTGCCTACCGGGCGCTTCTACCCCCCTTCCTGCCTACAGGGCACTTCTACCCCCTTCCTGCCTACAGGGCACTTCTACCCCCTTCCTGGCCTACAGGACGCTTCTACCCCCTTCCTGCCTACAGGAATCTTCTACCCCCCCTTCCTGCCTACCGGGCGCTTCTACCCCCTTCTACCCCCCTGCATTCACTATATCCGGTCTCCCCGACCCCTGCATTCACTATAATCCGGTCTCCCCGGACCCTGCATTCACTATATCCGCTCTCCTTGGACCCTGCATTCACTATATCCGCTCTCCCCGGACCCCGCATTCACTATATCCGCTCTCCCCGGACCCACGCATTCACTATATCTGCTCTCCCCGGACCCCGCATTCACTATATCCGCTCTCCCCGGACCCTGCATTCATTATATCTGGTCTCCCCGGACCCCGCATTCATTATATCTGGACCCCGCATTCACTATATCTGGTCTCCCTGGACCCTGCATTCACTATATCTGGTCTCCCTGGATCCTGCATTCACTATATCCGCTCTCCCCGGACCCCGCATTCACTATATCTGGTCTCCCCGGACCCCGCATTCATTATATCTGGTCTCCCCGGACCCCGCATTCACTATATCCGGTCTCCCTGGACCCCGCATTCACTATATCCGCTCTCCCCGGACCCCGCATTCACTATATCTGCTCTCCCCGGGACCCCGCATTCACTATATCTGGTCTCCCTGGACCCTGCATTCACTATATCTGGTCTCCCCGGACCCGCATTCACTATATCTGGTCTCCCTGGACCCTGCATTCACTATATCTGGTCTCCCTGGACCCTGCATTCACTATATCCTGGTCTCCCCGGACCCTGCATTCACTATATCTGGTCTCCCCGGACCCTGCATTCACTATATCTGGTCTCCCCGGACCCCGCATTCATTTATATCTGGTCTCCCCGGACCCCGCATTCATTATATCTGGTCTCCCCGGACCCCGCATTCATTATATCTGGTCTCCCTGGACCCCGCATTCACTATATCTGGTCTCCCTGGACCCCGCATTCACTATATCCGCTCTCCCCCGGACCCCTGCATTCACTATATCTGCTCTCCCCGGACCCCGCATTCACTATATCTGGTCTCCCTGGACCCTGCATTCACTATATCTGGTCTCCCCGGACCCCGCATTCACTATATCTGGTCTCCCCGGACCCCGCATTCACTATATCCTCTCTCCCTGGACCCTGCATTCACTATATCCTCTCTCCCTGGACCCTGCATTCACTATATCTGGTCTCCCTGGACCCTGCATTCACTATATCTGGTCTCCCCGGACCCTGCATTCACTATTATCCTCTCTCCCTGGACCCTGCATTCACTATATCCTCTCTCCCTGGACCCTGCATTCACTATATCTGGTCTCCCCGGACCCCGCATTCATTATATCTGGTCTCCCCGGACCCCGCATTCATTATATCTGGTCTCCCTGGATCCTGCATTCACTATATAGGTTGTCCCACAGTACACACAACATGGAAATGCAATTATTTTAGTAAATATAAACTGCAAAATACCTTTTCTTATCAGCATTATATAGCAGTCTTGTGACTTCTATCAGTGTCCAGCACACTGGTTAATGCTTGTAGGAGTCGTTTTCATTCTCCTCCGACTGTCCTATGAGGCTGCATGACCCCTGACCCTCTGGACAGTGCTGATTGGATAACATGCACCCCTCCAAAGAAAGAAAAAAAACTCTAGCAATACACACTAAACTGGAGCATGTGCAGAGTGCCTCCTAGGGCTCTGTACTATCAGTAGATGGGAACTGGGGAAAGTAGAAGGGGAGGGGGGAGGATCAGAGAAGACAGGATCAAACGGCCTTTTTACACAATGCAGAGGATTAACCCCTTAAGTTGCACAGTGAGTATAACCAGCATGCTTTACTCCATATACAGACTGATTCTACTGTTGTGTGCTTAGTAACCCTTAAAAACAAAAGACAGTTCAGGGATGCAGCATTGTCTTCACCCGGGCTAGTTCTTCGCCGGCCTTTGGGTCTCCCTGCTGCCATCTTGACTTTGGGTCTGTCTGGCTGTGACTCCCTGCCCAACTGCAGCGCAGCAATGAGAAAGAACCCTTGGGCCTCGTTCATATCTTGCGATTTGGGATTGTGGGCAGAATCGCCACAATTCCAAATCGCACTGCAAAAATGGCAAAAAGCAGCATGCATGCGCGTGTGCCATTCATTATTAAGACACCTCAAATGCAGTGCAATTTCTACACACAATTTTTGCGCGCCAAACCGCATTGCATGAAGCTTGTCGCCCAAGTAGGAGCGTCTTCTGGGTGACCAGCTTTACATGATGTGGTTTGCCATGACAATCGCTGCAAAAACTGCACCGCAATTGAGGCGGTACCATTAAAAACGAATGGCGCACAACCATGTGTGCCGCATTTTGCCACGATTGCAGTTTGATTTGGAATCGTGGGCTGAATCGCAGCAATCCTGCATATGATCCCAAATTGTCAGGTGTGTAACGCAGCCTTTGGGATGAGGGATTGGTATCACCTGGTGAGCGTTGTCAATCGCCTGCCTGTCTTCCCAAGTGGACTTGTTTGCTCAGAATACTCTATAAAGATGCGATACAATCATTTAGGAACAATTTGTGTCTGAACTAAGAACTTTAACCTCCCTGGCGGTCTGATTATTTCAGATTTTTGGTGCTGAAAGCGTACCATTTTTTTGCATGGAAATATGTTGTTTTTTTTCTATTGTCCGCCTGTAATTTTTAGGAATAACTCACTGAAATCTGTCCGAACAAGAGTCTAGTAAACATCCCGGGGAGGATAAAACTTGAAACACGAAATCATAAATTTATAATTTTAATAAATAATCATAAAAAATAATAATATAATAATAATAAATTTAATTCAATAATATAATCAAACCAAAAACACTGAAATTTGAAATCGAGCGCCAAGTTCGCACATCGCTGAGCAAAGTCGCAGAATCGTTTTCAGTGTCTGATGAGGAATTTCCCCCACGAATCATTATCACTCAATTCTGCAAGTGGTTCTGATTTACTATCGCTGTTCTCTTCTAGCCGGTCCTAAAACCGCGTCTGACCTAAAGGGACACTTTTTGGACGCCATGGACGTTTCTCAGTTTCCAGGCAGAAAGAACAGACAAAATGCAGGCAGGGGGACAGGACAAAGCACTCGGGACAAAATGTATGTGAAATGGTTTGAAACAGCAATGTTTTACTATGTAATAATCGTTTTAAAAAAAAAATGTGTCATTTTTTTTAAAATTTTAAAATTTGCTGCCGGTTCCGGCGCCCGTATGTCCCGACGTCACAGGGACCGGAACACGGAAGCCGGATGCCGGCATCGGCCGGAGGAGATGGCCGGGGACACTGCAGGGGACACATCGCGGGAGCGAAGGACAAGGTAAGCGCTGCAGGGACCCCCTGAGCAACGCCGCATGGTAAGCCCGAGTGTAGCTCGGGGGGGTTACCGCTTCTGGTACTGAAACTCTACCCCGAGCTACACTCGGGAATACCGCCAGGGGGGTTAATGTAATCATTTTTATATGGATGCATTTAATAAAATGGATTAAAGGTTTTGCGATAATACACTTTAATGTTTATGTTTAGCGCTGTATTCATTATTTACACTTTTTTTTTCCCCATACAGTAGTTTATCCATCTAGGGAACAGCGCAAAATATATCACTTTTGGTCGCCAATTTATCGCATTTTAACAAAGTTTTAAATAGGTAAATCATATCCTTGGAATCTGACCAAACCACCGCAGAGCACCTTCAAGGGAATCACCTGCTAAGCGCAATTTCCTCATCCCTCTCAGAGTAACTCTGCTAATCTCATTTTTTAATAACTACATTCTTCTTACGTAGCAGGACATTTGTCGCCTGAGCTTCTCGCTGTTTAAACGCTTGAATAAAATGCCTTTTATCGATGCAATATTAATATACTTTACAATCTTGCCGACATCCTGAGTTAAATTAATTTTGATGCTGTTGCTTTGTAATGGAAACTGCAGTAAATAAAAAAGGGGGAAAAATAACTAAACATTTCATACTCAATGGAAATCGGAATATTATTATTTATTTCAGGTACTTATATAGCGCCATCAATTTACGCAGCGCTTTACATATATATTGTACATTCACATCAGTCCCTAACCCTCAAGGGGTGTACAATCTAAGGTCCCTAACCCTCAGGGGCGTACAATCTAAGGTCCCTAACCCTCAAGGGGTGTACAATCTAAGGTCCCTAACCCTCAAGGGGTGTACAATCTAAGGTCCCTAACCCTCAAGGGGTGTACAATCTAAGGTCCCTAACTCACATTTATACATACACATAGTAGAGTGAATTTAGACAGGATCCAATTAACCTACCAGCATTTCTTTGGAGTATGGGAGGAAGCTGGAGTACCCGGAGGAAACCCACACAGGCACAGGGAGAACATGCAAACTCCAGGCAAGTGGTGCTGTGGTTGGGATTCTAACCAATGCCCCTAGTACTGCCAGGCGGAAGTGCTGACCACTCAGCCATTGTGCTGTCCCAGATGAAGGCCTCATACATTAGTACTATGGCTAGCGCAGGCAGTTTTATATTATGAGAAAGTATTATTAAATGTTCCTGCCTGGCGACCACTTCCTGCTATCTCACATATATATTATTATTATTATTATAGCCAAATTTACCCCCCTAACTCCTCCCACAGTTTTTACACCACATAGACAGTAATATACGGAGACGTGCGGATTGTTCCCGATTGGTGTGCTATTACTTTGTGGAACGTTTTTCGCCGAATGGTTCACGAAATATCGCCGTTTTTGTGATGAAATTGGTCCCATAGGAATGAATGGCGGAATGTTCAAACCTAGAGTGGGAGCTGACAAAGCTAGAGTGTGAGCTGAAAAACCAGGACATGATTTCTAAACTGCCATCACTCCCTCATTTTCAAGCCCACCTACACAAATCGTATATCAAAACGTTCAGCTATCCGGCTGCCACTAAAAATGTCCACGGCTAAGCCATAGTCCTGATAGTTTTCACAATATGACCATTTGTTTGCAACTCACACCCCCCCATTGACATTCATTGAAACACCACTCTAGCCACCTCAAATTTGAAGGGCAATTTCTAAACTGCGACTGTGCCTTCATTTTTAATATTTCAGAGACATACTATGCATCAAAATGTAGGTCTGGGTCTTGTGATTCTCGCAATATAAAGCTCTTCAGTGTAGGATTTATAATTTGTAAACTACAACCGTTTGAAGATGGCAACTGCCAGTGAAGTGAGCAAGTTGGAGCAGTTTGTTTTTAACCGCTCTTCTCTGCCCTTGCTGTAGAGTGAGTTGCCATAGGAACCCAGGTGTGTGGGCAGGCAGCAGAGTGACAAGCCACTCCCCCCAGTTACTCCGCCCACTCCAGTTGTAGACTACTGGTGG